TAGAGGGTGAAGAGGAAGGGGGAGAGGACAGTCCCCTGTGGTGCCCCTGTGTTGCTGATTACCTTGTCAGACACACACTGTGGGAGACGTACATATTCTGGTCTTCCTGTCAGGTAATCAACAATCCAGGACACCAGAGAAGCATCCACCTGCATCGCTGCTAACTTATCACCCAGGAGGGTCGGCCTGATGGTATTGAAAGCACTAGAAAAGTCAAAAAACATGACCCTCACAGTGCTCGCCGGCTGGTCCAGATGGGTGTGGACACGATTGAGCAGGTAGATGATGGCGTCCTCAGTTCCGAGACGAGGCTGATAAGCGAACTGAAGGGGATCCAGATGTGGTCTTACTATGGGTCGCAGCTGGTCCAGGATGAGCCTTTCCAGGGTCTTTATGATGTTTTATTTACATTTTGCACATTTATTTATTTTGATATTTTGTAATTTGGGTTGTAGAATGCATTTACTTATTGCCAAGGAGACAGAGTCAACTTTACATTTATGTATCCAAGCAAAAAAGTAGAGTATATCTACTTTTTGCTAAGTGAATATGTTTTACTTGGTGAACAAAGGCATTTAAAGATACACAGAAATCTGAAGAGATAAATACTGTCGCTTATTTAATGGATGACAAAAGTAAAGTGTTATATCGTGAGTTATGTGAGAAATTCCTTTTGAAATGTAGACTTTTAGAAGCTATAAAAGAAAAATAAAAGCAAAAACAGCCTCTATCGTTCAAAAAGGCATTTTTACTCTTAGGTGTCTCATGTACTAAGGCAGCTCTGTATAGCAGAAATGGACTTTTATTACATTAAATGAAATAACAGAGCTTAAAAAATATAATGTTAAAGAAAGTCTATCATACTCAAAATGAAAGGAATTGTGTTCTGAACGAATTTGAGGCAATAGAAGTTAAAGTATAACGATAAAATACACTTTAAGATTTGATTCCTCTCCCTCCTAAAGTGACTTCTTATTAATTTATTTACTTACTTGAAATGCAGCATTAGAGAAAAAGCGTATAAAAACAAGCAGGACGCAACAGGAAAAGGAAATGAACGTCAAGAAAACAAATCACGTGACCATAAGTTGTCCGGGGAACGCATTTCAAACAGGTGCGTTCGACCAATCAGACGCCCAGAACAGTCTTAGGTCAGCGAATCAGCTTCCAGCGAGCGAGGATTTAAACCTCGCTCGCTGTTCCTTGAATATATGCCATACTGTTCTCCATTACGACTATTCGCCTGTTTGTTGAAGCATCGCTATTTTCGAAATGGCTCTCAGAGTGACCCGGGTAAGACTTTCTCATCTCTATTTGTTACTGTTTTTTTAATCGTTGAATCTGGGGAAGCACTTCCAAGCTTTTTCTTTGACCTTTTCGCTTAAAAACCCCCCAAAACGTAGCTATAGCCTTCGTTTCTTGCTTTGGGATTTCTTATCATGGAGCAGGTCGAGAGTAAGGGTTTCCGCTTAAGCCTCTTTAACTAAAAGATAAAAGCGTGCAAACTGTTATAATCATTGTGATTTAAAATTATCTTTTTTTTTTTTTTTTTTTTTCCTGCAGAATCGTTTGGCTTCCACCAAGGTCGACCTCGGTGGCAAGGCCTGCTCTGTGTCTGGGCCCACACAGAAGCCCCGAGCAGCCCTGGGGGAAATTGGAAACATCGCAGTTAACAAAGACGCACAGAAAAAGGTAAACATTTCATCCCGAATTTTAAATGCTCTTCTGTTCTGGAAAACAATAGAATTATACAATGAAATCATATGGGCACAGTGGCTTCTAGCTCTGATCTCAAAACAGTTAAAATGGCCCGAGCGGGGCCACACTTGCAACAACTGGCACAAAATGCTTAATTGAGTCAAAGCGTTGGACAAGCTAAAACTGGTTTAAAAGGTTATTTAAAAATTATAACGTCCTGTTAGGGTATGAAGGTGTTAAGCTTGTTGGTTTTTTTTTTTTTAAAACCTCCCTGGCACACTGTGCCTTGACTACACATGGAACCAGTTATTAGTCAGCATTTGGCCTCTTGCTCTAAAAGAAGCCTACACATTTTCCTGCTTTAGATTCTCTAATTCAAAAAATATACCTCAAACAGAACAGGAAAACCCCTGAGAGTACAATGTGCTCAGATTGACTGATACTGACTTAACTTTAAGTGCTGTTTAGACTAAAATTCAGTGTCTAGGTGATTCAAGTTTTTATTTTAACCTTAGGGAACACCTGAGGTGGCTGCAGGACTGCTGCTTAAATGGGGGGCATTGATAACAAGAGAACTCACACTTGCATGTCACCCTCCTTTGGGCTACATTAAAATGGCAGCATAGCGTACCTGCAGGAGTGAGTTACACTAGATTGTCTAAATGAGGCTTAAAATCATGCTGGGAAGTGATCTCTATTTGAAAGTTAACACTAAATTGGTCCTATGTTAATTTTTTTTTTAAAAAAGTTGTCTTCCAGACTACTGAGTTTTCTGGCTTTAACATGCTTTTTCCCTTAGCCTGTAAAGACTGAAGCCCTCAAGAAGACCAAAGTTACAACTAGAGCTGAAAAGGCTGAACAGACAAAGCAAAAAGATGTCATTCCTGTTAAACCTGAGGTGCAAGCCCCACCTGAGCCAGCTTCTCCCACACCAATGGAGACCTCTGGCTGTGAGCCTGCAGACCTATGCCAAGCATTTTCAGATGTCATTCTGCACACTGCTATCAGAGATGTCGACGCAGATGACTATGACAACCCCATGCTCTGCAGTGAATATGTGAAGGACATCTACAAATATCTCCGCCAGCTTGAGGCAAGCAACTTAAAATAAAGGAATTTAAAGTGGGAATATTGAGCTACTTTCTCCACAGACCACTGTAACCATTTCTTGTCTGTTCAGGTTGAACAGAACGTCAGACAGAACTATCTGCAGGGTCAGGAGGTGACGGGCAACATGAGAGCCATTCTCATTGACTGGCTCGTGCAAGTAAATCTGAAGTTTCGTCTCCTGCAGGAGACTATGTACATGACCGTGGGCATCATTGACCGCTTTCTTCAGGTGGGTGAATCCTGGTTCTCCTAACAAATGCTGTTAGTCCTGCACTACACCGGTCCACCTTTCATGGTTTTCATCTCACTAACGGCAACTGTACCTCCCAACAGGACAATCCAGTCCCCAAGAAGCAGCTGCAGCTTGTTGGCGTGACTGCCATGTTCCTTGCTTCAAAGTATGAGGAGATGTATCCCCCAGAGATCTCAGACTTTGCCTACGTCACAGACAAGGCCTACACCACAGCCCAAATCAGAGACATGGAGATGACAATTCTGCGGGTGCTGAAGTTCCAACTGGGCCGTCCTCTCCCCCTTCAGTTCCTCAGAAGGGCCTCCAAAATTTATGAGGTTTGCAGCATATGTTGTGTCACAGGAAGTGCTGATGGGTGACGGTAAGTGTTCGTGCAGCAACTTATTCCTCGTGCATGTCTTCACAGGTAACTGCTGAGCAGCACACTCTGGCAAAGTATCTCCTGGAGCTCACAATGGTTGACTACGAGATGGTCCATTTGCCACCTTCAATGGTGGCAAGTGCTGCTTTGGCACTCACCCTCAAAATATTGGCTGCTGGAGAATGGGTAAGTGCATCTGAAGGGTCTAAGAGTTTTGGTGTGTCTGTAAGAAATTAAAGTTGTGTCCTTGCTAAAAGTTCCTAGTGGTAAAAACTAGGTCTGAAGTATTAGTCCTAAGAAAGGACCTATGAAGCCATGTCAAGAGTATTAATCCATAATTGAGTGCAACAAATGGCTGCCATAAAGCTGCAGTGCAATTGTTAACTTGTAGCACTTCCTGGCAAGTTTAATAATACTGGTGCAACAGAAGCTTGTCTGACCTTTGCTTATCCCAGACTTTAGAGCTGAATCTATACAGAACATAAGTGGCTGACATGATTGCAATAATCTACACCTGTGCAGGTAATGGTTGCAATATTGCAACCATAAGTTTTATGAACTGTCATGGGAATTTTACATATTTGTAAAAGGACTCCTTGGATGAGTTTCAATATCAAAAGGCTTTGCTTTATGTGAAGGAATTGTCAAATAAGTTTTTACATCTAGATCAGTAAATTCAAACTAACCCCTATACCTGCTTAACTGAGTGAGTTAAATGCAGAGAGGAATTTCACCACAAGGATCAAAGTGTACATGTAATAGTGACTCATGCACATTTCAAATTGTCTTTCCAGGATGTGACGCTGCAGCACTACATGGACTACACAGCAGAGAGTTTGATTCCTGTTATGGCACACATCGCCAAGAACGTTGTCAAAGTGAATAATGGGCTGACCAAGCACATGGTAAGCTTCTCATCCTTCAAATTTAAACTAATTTTAAACTTGACAAGACCTAACTACACTGTCTTCTGCAGGCCATCAAAGGCAAATACTCCACCTCAAAGCAGATGAGGATTGCCAACATTTCGCAGCTCAAATCATCAGTGGTTAAGGACCTGGCAAAGCAGGTCACACAGTGAGGAGATCAATGTCCTTGGCACCATGTGCTGATTTGTACAGATGTAAATTAACTTAACCTGACAAGGATCTGCACACCAAGGATGTCACTAGTTTAGTACTTGTGGTTTTTTCTTTTTTTTTTTTTAAAAATAAGACTGTGTATTTTTACAGCCTGCCCAAAGCACGCCACAAGTTTTAAGTTTGACCTGAGCAACAAAATGGAAGTTCTTCTAAGATTGACAGCTGGGCTACATGATCAGACTAGTGCAAGGCAACAATTTTTGTTTCACTTATTCACAAGTACTCATGCACTAATCTTATTAGGCCTGAAGACCTCTGACCCTACACCTTTAAGTCTAATGCACCTCTAAACTGCTGCTGAAGTGTTTAATCTAAAACTTGTGGTGTGACTTATGGCCAGCAATGTGACTTTTTAAAAATTTTTCAGTGGATGTGTTGGTGTGAAATGTACAGCAATGCTTTTTAAATAAATTTGGTTTTTGCGTTCTTACTATCTTGTTCTTAAAGGATTTATTAAATGGCTTTGACCAGAAAGCTGCCTGCCTTGTTGTTCCTTTTGCTCTCCACTAGAGGCTGCTGTGAGACTGTTCAAGCATTTTAAAGCTAAAGTACAAGTGAGGCTGTCAAAGTGCCCACATTGAGAAATGTTGACTTTGCCCTGCTGTGCTTCAGGTTAGAGCAATGTTAATATTTGGTGACTGAGCCCAGGGCAGTACAGCTTGTATCAAAACGGCTCATGTGAAGTGTCCCTTAATCATGATGGTTTTTGTGACTTCAGGGAAGCTTAAAGCAGACCTCTGGGACTTTCAATTCACGTTAGGTCACTTTCTGAGTCTTATTTTGCTTAAGGGCTAACATTTCAGGGCTGTCCTTAGATCGGAGGCTAAAACAGGCACTTTGACTGGTAACAGACATCTTTTATCACCCAGAGGAGTCTTCCTTTACAGGAGCTTTCCTTTACATATAATTTTGGAGGCAGTACATGAGCATTGGGTCTCTAAGTTGGCTCAATCAAGTGCCTTTCCAACTAGGGGTGACCTGAAGTGCTCTCCAGTTGAAGGTGCACAGTCTCTAGAAAGCCCTGGGTTTGTCTCTAATGAGGGGAAACAAAACACGGGCTTTCAGACTTGACAACATGCAAGGCTCTTTTCAACATGTTTTAAATGGGACAATGCACCAAGCCCAACACTGCTTTACTTCTGAGATCTGACATCAAGCGTGCTCGGGGTGGAATGTGTTAGCCCTGCAACAGACTGGCGACCTGTCCAGGGTGTACCCCGCCTCGTCCTAAGAAAGCTGAGATAGGCTCCAGTAACCCCCGACCCTGAAAAGGATAAGCAGATAGATGAATGAGAGAGACTAGTCCAGAGTGTGGTGGTTGTGCTTTTGACAAAAGGCAAAATTCTAATAAATCTGGGTTCACAGCTAGCAACTTTGCATCGCAAACATCTGCAGTCAAGAGCGGAACTGCACAAACCTATACAGAGTTAGAATAGACTAGCCAGGAGGACCTAAAGGGGTAACTTCTAAGTCCTAGAAAGAGAACCAGCCTTAATTTAGTGATGCTTCTCACTGGTGAATGGTGCCTTTCACAGCTTTTTCACTGTAAAGCCCCCAAGATTTTAACTAGAGTTTCAAACACCTGGATAAAGAACCAAGTCAGTTTATTTTTTGGATGTCAAAGCTAATGGACGATGAAGATGCCAGTCTTTAGCTGAAACTGAACTAGGGCCCTTTTACTTCTTATGCAAACACTGAGTTTAAACTTTAAAGTGCTGTAAAAGTGCATTCTTTTTAACAGCCAGAAGGTGGCACACAGCCTTCCAGTGTCCCCAAGGCTCCCTAGCTTTTTGACCTCAGCAGACACTTAAACCAGACCTTCCCAAAGTGTGGGGCCTGCCCCCTAGGGGGGGCGCGGCATGAAAAGGGAAAAAACAAAACAACGCTTGGACACTGCTAGCACGGGGCGCCCACACAAACGCAAAGCAGGAGATGAAGCATCGCTGAATATGCTTCCAAACCAACTTCATTCTAAGCCAAAGACTAGAAAATATGGTGAAGCATATCTTCCTTTGGCTTCACCTGCACAAGTGCCGAGGTAGGTCTCCCCTGCAAAATTGGTTTTCCCTGCGTCGGGAGCAAGCGCTGGGCTCTTCAAATCACGGACAAACAGGATCCCACATTCTTGATTTTTAGTTCACAAACACTTGTTGTAATGACTAACTACTCCTGACATTTTGGAGATGTTAGCTCTTTATACAGTAAAGTTACAGCGGGATACAAATACTATCAGGCTGATCCTGCCACGATTTGTTCCCCCGGTTCAAATCACGGACAAACAGTATCCCACAACTGTTTATGTTTTTAAACCCATTTTGCACAGAGAGGCATTTTTAAAAAAAAAATGTATTGATAACAATGTTGAATATTATTACACAGGAAAAAAACAACTACATGTAAAATAATTACACCGTGACGCCTCTGCCTTTCTAAATGGAGGGACAGTAACTGCGTGTTTATATGTAAGCGTGTAAAACCTGAAGATAGAGACAAAATACTGTTAATCTGACTATCTGCCATTCTGCAATTCCTCTCATGTAAGCAATAACGTGCACACAGCGTGACGTGAAAAAAAGGCACATACCTTTGACGTTGCCTGACGAACTCTGTATTCCTCGTCCACACGTAAACGCAAAAAATGAGTTTTAAAAAATCTCAGTTTTCGGTGATTTCAAACGCCGTTTACGTGGGCGCGAACATTTTTCTGTAAAACAAAGGGGAGGCCCAGCAAAAAAAGTTTGGGAACCACTGACTTAAACGATGACTCCATGGGCTCAGTCATTAATCTGCAGTCTTACTGAGTCCAATTTGGAAATTATTCACAAGACACTAGCTAATTTGAGTGCAGTTGCACAGTTCAGATCCACCCCTCAGTGATCACACCTGAATTCAAAACACAAAGGTAAAGAACGCGAAAAGGTGACATCATAGTTTCCTATGATAGCAATGTCTCTTTCGTACGTTCTGTGTGTACATGTGATCATTGTGAGCCAAAGGCTCAGACTACAGACTGTTTTCAATGCTGTTCATTTTTTTCTACTCCTTGACACAAGCTCTACTTGTGTGCTGTCCAAAATTTCTGTTTGCAAGGAGTAGCCAGTCAGAAGGAAGTTGGCTTAAAGCAGGAAGATATGGCCTTCTTTCAGATAGATGTTGCATGAAGGGCCAGTATAAGATAGTTTATGTGAATTATTTAAGATGTAAATGGATAATATATATAGTAATTTAACGAAACATCTGCAAGCACACATGTAAAAATAGTATATAAGGCAAAAATGGAGTTCTGTTATTTAAGTTAAATTCTTCAAGTAGTCTTCAGGAAAAGTTTTCCAGGTTTCTTGAGGGACATTTAAAGCCATGTTTGGATGTTGGCTGCCTGTCGTTAGGGTTTTCCTTCCACCTCAAAGCCTCTTAATTGTGTGGCATCACAATATATTGTTTTTTATTCAGGTTTGAGTTCATTCCTAACTTACAGCTGTATCTTTTTAATTACGTAACTTATTCATTGTTTCTGTTTTTTGTTTTTGCTTTAATTTAAATTGAGCTATTTGAGCTAATTTTGTTATATTTTACTCAGCTTTTCCATTTTATGCAAAGTAAGTTTTCTTGATTGTTTGCATGCAAGTTTTTACTTTTATTGTATCTTTTTTGACTTACTTTATAACTATATTTTAGTTATTGTACTTTATTTTACCATTAATTGAGCTTTATTTTGTCTTCCTTGAAATTTGTTTCATTGTATTGTATTTTGTTGAATGTGATTTAATGTGGATGGTCCTCCTTAAGAAACAGAAGAGAGCATCTCTGCATGATGTTTATTTATAAGGTTCTTCTTTGAAAACGGCCCAATTATCTCTGCTCCCCTTTTACATTTAAATATAGTAGTTACAATATCAGGTCACAGGATATTAATAACATTAACTGTGCCTGTCATTCACACTGAGATTGGAGAAGTGTGTTGAAGTGAGTTTAAATCCTCCACTGTCTACAAATGGAATGAATGACAAATATACTTCCTCTGATTTCATTAAAACATTATAAAATGTTATGGTTATCTATCTTTATGCTGTCTGTACATTTGGTCTGGATTGAAATGAGAGACAGTGTTTTTTGTGCAAGTCTCTTTTGAAAAAGAGATGTGGACTTTAATGACACTATTGTACTTTAAATAACGGTAAATTACAGAACTCTTTCCTGTCCAGGAAATTGTTGTGAATCATTATTACAGACTTCCTTCCTAAGAAGCCGGAAGATCTCATGTAAGGTGCAAATTTGAGGACTCCTCACAGTAATTGCATAACATCAGGCCACGTGTAGTTAAAGCTAATGGACAGGACAGAGTGGGAGCTATTATCACAGAAACCCATTCACAGCTGAAACCCTGGGGAACACCCCCTGCTTCATCAGTCCATTCATCCTGTTATCCTCAGGGAGATGTCCAAAGATCATCTGCCATCTGTATGACGTAAGGCACTCTGTGTCTTAAACTCAGGATCATAAGGCCATCACTGCTACAGGCCTGCTGGATAACAGCTTGACTACATCTGTCGCAATACAGACAGCAAGACCGGAAATCATCTGCTGCTCAAAGGGGAAAAAACATATTACACATTTTGGGAAATTGGTTTTATTGTAGTTCATGCGCAGAGTTCAAAAAGTGAAATATGAAGATTAAGGTCCTTTAAGGTACAAGAAAAAAAAAAACCCCTCAACTGATCTGAGAGCCCAAGATGTACATCTGTTTCCTGACATAATGACATACAGGCTGTAATCCTGACACCTTAAGAGCACACCCCCTCCATCCATCTAGCCCTGTAGCCTCTGTTTTCCACAGAGACACATGATAATTAGTCTCAGTTATCCTGAAAAAGCCTGCCTTTAAAACCCACAGATCAAACTGAGCATTCATATTTTAAGGCTGAGGTCACAACTGGACAGCCATATCAGTTTACAGGACAGATTCCCCCTCTGCAGGGCTCTAAGCCCTACACGTGCAGCTGCCTGGAACAGTATTTGGCATTTTTCAGCGATATTTTGCTGTGTGACATTATTACGATGGAAAGTTGAATATGATAGCTCTTGTCTTCAAGGCAATTCAGCCACTGGCACACTGGAACACTATGCTTGCAAATAACCCTAAAATCCGTGTTTTTTTTTTTAACCAAAAACTATATAAACGTGTCATCACTCTGATCTTCTCTTCTCTGGCTATCAAAATGTTTTTGGTTTAAAGGCACTTTTTGTAATTACCTACTGCACAATTTAACCAAATCTTCCATCACCAGGGGGTAGCAGTTTACCAGTTTTTCCATGTGTTTGGCTGTTTTTGTAACTTACCTTGATTTCCTGAAGAAAGCCTGCTTTTTCCAGGCCACCAGTATAAATAAGAACTACTTATGATGTACCATCCTATGGTTCAAACTGATACAA